ACAGATCAGAATCCTCTGTGCTTACTAGGGATCAAAAGAGATGTTTCAGTGACAGGAAAGCAGTCTCATCAAGTGGAAGTGCACAGAGAGCATTAAATTTTAACAGAAAATAATGACCTTGGCAGTGGTCACCTGTGCTGCTTCTGTGCTGACCTTGCTTTTACACAGTAGTCAGAGAGGAAAAGGGATATCTGGGATTACAAAACTTATCTACCCTTGGGAGCAGGAGAAGTGTCATATTAGGAAGTACGGACACTAATCTGAGACTGAAAAGACCTGCTCATGTTGTGGCTAACACAAATGGGAAAATCCTCTGTACTTACTTCAGAGGAAAATGAATTATGAAAAGTGAAAGGATAAAGATTTTTTTCTTCCTTTCTATCTGGCCAGCGCTAATGTCAGGTCCATGGAGTAATTTGCAAGTAGTCAGTGCCACAGGGATCCTTCTCTTCCTCAGCCAGCATGTTTCTGCTTTTGAGTGATGATGTTCAGACACCATGCCAGTAAAGCTCTGAGATCACCACTGGTTCAATACATGAAAACAAAGTATCATTCTGTTTTTAATTATTAAATGAAGTGATAGATTTTAAAAATGTAAAAGAAAAGGGCTTGATAACGCTCTCATTTTCTAAGTATAAATGGCTGCTACTACTACTATACTTGTCAGGTTCCATCTTTACTAATTTGAATAGGTCATTGTACTTTTCAATTAAAAGACAGATTTGGGAGCCATTGTAGAAATTGCAAGTATTAACAGAAAATTCAGGTAGCATTTACCTTTAGCTAGGTGTGCTTATGGACCTTCTGATTACAAAGCAGCATAGCACTATCAGCTATCTAATTTGAAATATATTTGCTTCCAGACTGAGCTTGTAAGACTTTGTATGTACACGTGCAAACATTTTCATTCTTGAAGGATAGTTTGCAAAAAACACCACTGTATACCATTCTTCTCTAGCATAACCAACTACATTTTGGAAAGCTTCTGTCCAACTACAAAATTTATGCTTGAAAAAAGAAACACCTAGAAAAAGGTATTAGTCTCCTTAATCCACACATCAGGAACCAGGTCCCCAAATGTCAGATTCATTCTGATGCTAAACATCCTAGCGTAGAAATAGGAATGTGTTTACTCTAGCCTGAGCTATACAAAAGGCTGCAGCTAGCTTCTGCCTGCTTTGATTAATCTGAAATGTTTTAAATCAATCTAAAATTGATTTTTTTAAATTTACTTCATATTTTATTACCAGGGAAAAATAAAAAGGTTGGTTTCCCTTACCTATACTTTTTCTCCAACATGGAAAATATTAGTGACATCCCTAATCTGTTGCTCTTTGAGACATTTAAATAATTAGCAGGATAGAATGAAACACTAAGTCGCTGGTGAGACACTAGAGCAGGTTGTCTAGAGAGGCAGTAGATGCCCCATTCCTGGAAGCATTCAAGATTAGGTTGGATGAGTCTGAGCAACCTGACTTAATGGAAGATGTCCCTGCACATTGCAGGAGGGTTTGGAATAGATGGCTTTTATATATCCTCTATGTTCCTTTCAACCACAACTACTCTAATACTAGAATTCTCTGAAAACACACTGACACTTCTATTTCTATAGTGTGTTCAGGAATCCAAGCACTATGTCACCACAAGTCCAAGGTCTGCTAGTTCCCTGAATACAAGCCCCAGATAAAGAACAAAACCCTGATACTTGCATCCTCTCTGTTTTAGGAAGGAAAAGTGCCTGGATTCTCCCTCTCGAACTATATATCAGTTTCTGGGAAGCAGAAGACATGTGGTGTTCTTTCAGCTATGCAGAGCTTTAAGAGCACCAGCAGTCTCTGTGCAGAGATGGAAGAATGTCATTTTTATCACACAGTCTCCTATCCTGTGCTGCCCTCTGCAAAAAGCACTCTGTCTCCTTTGTGCCTACAGATGGGTTCTCCCCTATAATTTTGTAAAATTTCAGCATGAGGCAAATGGTATGGACCCAATATTTGAAGAAGTTTTGGCTTATTCATTGCTTGTGTAGTCTTATTGAGGATGAGAAAGACAGGCATCTGAAAACATAATTTCTATACACCTAGGAAAGTTAGGTAAAGATGCAAAACCAGAAATCCTTTCTCACACTATAAACATAGGCCATTAGCTGATGAACACCTAATTATTTTCCAGTTTTTGATTGATTCCTTTGGAATAAAATAAGAGAAAAGCATCTATGTATTTTTGATCATTATTTTTTATTATTATTTTACACATTTGCACAGTGGCTGATCTCTAGCTTAACTAGGAGGTGTCGAAAAATACCCAGATGTTATGTATGCATATATGATCCTGATGCACCAGCAAAAGGGTACAGAGTGTTTCAGAAATGCGAGGGGGAAAAGCAAGGAGGCAACCCCACAATAGATGCTTTCACCTGGCCCAATCTCTTTGTAGGGTTTTGATTTCTAGATTTCACTTTCACTTTATATATTTCCCAGCTAATAGATTTCACTTCTTTTTTAAAACAACAAAAATAATCTAAAAAATGCTAATAATCCACTGTAGCTTACACAAATAAGTTAAAAGAAGGAGGCTGTTAGGCCTGTCTCTGAGTGTCTGTGTATTAAAAAGCATTCTGCTGTACACCTGTGTGCTGAGATCAGTAAGTTTCCCTATAGCATCTCTTCTTCAATGGCAAGTCTGATTTGCAGCCCCTAAGAGATATTAAATCTACCACTTCCTTTACTAGCTCCTGTCAATAGTGAATAAACCTAATAATCAAGGAAAAATGTTTTCCAGCCTGATTTCACTCCTTTGTGCCAGTGCATGATAAACAAGGACTGACCAGCTATGAAAAGAAAGAAAGAAAGAAAGAAAGAAAGAAAGAAAGAAAGAAAGAAAGAAAGAAAGAAAGAAAGAAAGAAAGAAAGAAAGAAAGAAAGAGTATATATCAGAAACAGATGAAGAAAACTATATAGTTTTTTTAAAAAATGTTATTTTTCTAGTGTGCCTAATCTAAGGCATCTTTAGCCACTGTAAAAGGTAAGAGTAACAAAAAATACTGACTAAATCATTTTGCACCTCTGATCAAACACTCTGTTAGGGTATATTTTCCCTGACTCCACAGAGAAGTCTAACTAAGCACAGACTGTCACCACTATGGTATTTAGTTGAGCATCATTGTTATTTGATCAGTGTGCCTTCAAAGAACCTACTCAGGGCTGGAATTAATATTCTACTACTCTCATTGGGGTTGAATGCTGATGGAGGAGGAAAAAGAGGAGTCAAAAAAATGCTAAAAGATGACAGCCTCCCACAACATGGAATGTGCTCAGTGTAGATGGTGGAGCCACTGTCCTTCCAGCCCTTCACTTTCCTCAAAAATTTGCACCAGGGCTACTATTGAACCACAAACTCACAAATGGGAACGCTATCTCCCCTTCTGTTTCATTTAAATGAGCTGGTTCAGTGAAGCCAACTGAGAGTTCCAAAAACTTCAGGAATTATTTTTGTACTTCTTTCTGAAAACACATGATTGAAGTGCAACCTTTTCACAGCATGAACATAATATAAATCTCTGGCTTTGAAAAAATTCAAACTGAAGTACAAAAAAAACCCTTAAAGTATCTCGAGCCCCAATAATGAAAATCCCAAATACTAAACACTCTTAAGTATGAATATGTTCACTTTTAAAATGGATTTAGTCTAAGCTTACTGCTGTAATTTTTCCTAGTATCACAGGATGCTCCTCCCTATATATGCATAGTTTAAGAAGGAACAGAGACACAGATTTTGATTGTTAAATTCTGGGCTTTTGAACATGAAAAGGAAATACTAAGATTTACCTTTACCTAATATTTTGCATGTTTTTTACATAGAAAAGTTCCATGACAGGAGTATGATTCCTTAAAAAATACATATATGAGTAATAGAGCAAGATCTCATCCTGAACAGCAAGCTGTTCAGCAAAAATCGTTGTATGTATTGTATATGTATATTGTATGTATATGTTTGTCTTGACTTCCACATAAACAGGCAAAATTGCTTACAATTAGCTGGATTCCTATTAAAATACCAAGCCAGAAACATAAATGTGCTTGATGTTCCTCATACATTCTTATTTTGATTTTTTTCTGTCCATCCTTATCCAACAATGCTTTTCCTTTGCATTGGACTGTCCATTCAGTTAGTGATGAAAGTTTAAACTGAGATATTGAGATGAAAGGAAGAACTGACCCATGTGATTCCCTGATGCTCCTCTTCTCCTAGATCTTCAGGTCAGACAAACAGCTACTACTAGTGGGCCATGAAAAAAATGTGAGAAACAGATAATTTTCTGCAATATCAAGTTATAGAGGCACATCACACACATTAATACATGTGCTCAGAGTCTGACAAACAAAATTTGCCTCAAGAGAATGTTGCTTTCATTGGTAATTCTTTTCCTAACTTCAAAAAAAGAACAAAATCAAGGGTTGAGGGAGTCTGCTGTTTAGAAAGAAAAATATTTTTCTGTCATTGTATTACGTGCGAAAGTAACCAAATCCCAAGAAATAGTCAAATGGCTCTACAAATTCACTGTTCTTATTAATAAAATCTTCAATAGGGGTAAAACTGATGTCAAATTCTGTCTCGTAGCAATTGGAAAAGGTTTTCAGTGAAAAGAAAAAGAAAAAGCTAATTACTATCAAGGATTTTTTGATTTTTTTTCTTTTATATTCTTTTGCCTCATCCTAGTGTTGGTTTCACCAGCTGAGGCATAGCAAAGGGCAAAAACAGCTTTTGAAGAATACTTTTTCCTATTTGCTTGACCTGTCCAGTAAAATGGAACAATTTACAATGAAATCACAATTTGACCTTTTAACAAGAATCCTTCCAGAAAAACCAACAATAAAAAACGTACATACATGAACAAACAAACAAAATTAACCAAAAAAAAACAAAACCTCCACCCTTGAACCAGACTCATTAGCTGTGAAGTAGCCAGTGAGAGGAGGAGTGTTTTGAAAGCTGTTTAATGCCTTTCCCAGAATCTGGTCTTTGCAGGAGTAGAACAGGAATGAAGGTCAGATAAAATGATGAAAGAGATTTGCAGTGTCTTTTTAAATACATTTTTACTCTTCTGTACCTGGAAAAAGAAAAAAAAAAAAATAGAAAAATGTCAAATGCTGCCTTTCTCCACTTTGTCCAAGGGGTAGATAATCTGGGAAAGTAAAACAAGGGTATCAGTGTAGACAGCCTCATTTTCTGCAAGGAGTGAAGTTTGCGTAACTGTTGAAAGGGTACAAGGTGAGGCACACCAACACGTACCTCTTACAGGTACAACTGGAAATATCATTCTGTTCTAAACAAATTGAAATCTATTATGATCAGACTAATCCAGCTAGAATTCAAACTTAGGAATGAAGAGGATCACATAACAGAGTCCATCATGCATAGATCAAGAGATTTTAATAGGTTTCTTTGCTGTGGGGTTCCCTTATCATCTTTCATCAACAGCTTTTCCAGCACCTTTTTGCTTATGAAGGCAAGAACGTTGTACATGTGGTTTAAAATGAAGAAAAGAAAATGCTCCAAACACAAAAGAATGCTACATTTTAAAAGCTGTTTACTCCCATTGAGCTTTCAGTGAAAAACACAGCCTTAAGTATGGAGACGCACCAAAGACATAACAAAAGATGTATATTTTACAATCTACTTGACTCCTGTCAAATATTTATAATCCCTTGGCCTCATAATTAGGTTATGTTTGACTAATATTATCCTGAATGTACAGACATAACTGTTTTCTATGTAGTTATACTACAAGTGCATCTTCGCAATAAACAGATCTCCTTGAGAAAGAAGTATAGACAAGAACATTTTTGGTTATTTCTGGTGAAAATTGACAGTTTCTAATTAAAGAAGAGAGTCCATCCAATTTGTCTCATAACCATCACTAGAAATCCTCTGAAAAAGCTTCAAACAGGAACATGAATATTTTAGTCTATGTTGGCTGTTCTAACTGGCTCCCTGAGTACACCTGGCACCTGCTGTAATTCTGACAATGCTTATATCAGAAGAGTTTTAAAGAACATTGGAAAGAGTCTCTCAACCAAGGACATTCAGCCCGAAGAGAGATGAATTTACCTGTAGGGCTGGGCATGCCTTGGAAGAAATTATTGCATCAAAAAATCTTTTGGTTCCTTTCAGGAAACCAATTTCTTTTGCACTCAATAATCTATTGTTTTTTTAATGGTATTTGGGCAAAGGAGAAAAAGGACTGCCAAAACAAAGATCTTTACTGCTGGACAACATTGTCTGTGTTGAATGTATACAGCAACTGCACAGATCTACTAGTGAGTTGGTATCTTCTACCACACAGATAGCAGGGGAACCTTTCCTTTCAGGATGGTCCCCCGTAAGTTGCTACTACCAAATCTTGCTCACTCATGCAATTCTAAGACATTATTTTAAAGAATTATGGTTTCAGCATTTTATTTGATTTATTTAGACTGAGTTGTCACATTTCCAGCATAATCTACAACAGGCAGTAGTAACAGCCATAACAACAGTAGTACATTTCCATGATGTTTCCCAACTGAAGCATTCAGCCTGATTTACTGTCATTAACAGGATCATAATAATCCCATGACACTTATAATTAGCCACATTAAAAGAGAAAAGACTGACCCAGAAGGAAGGGTAATTATTTGGGGCAGGTGGACTAAATGACATATTTGAGCAGTATGTATTTCTGAACTTAAAGGATTTGCTGAATCACACCAGGGACCTGAAACAGAGCTCAAAATACCACCTAACACATGCTTCTCTTCCTATGCCATCCACATTTACAATAATTTTAACCCCTCCCATCCCAGTTAATGAAGCAAGGCAAAATGCAGTTTTCTCCATTCTCTGGAAGTTCCCTGCCTATGGAGAACTGAGTCAATGCAGAAAGGCTGTGGATGTCCCAACCATGGCAGTGTTCAAAGCCAGACTGGCTAAGGCCTTGAGCAACCTGGTCTAGTGGTAGATGCCCCTGTCCATGGCAGGAGAGGTTAGGACTAGATGATTTTTAAGGTTCATTTTAACCCCTTAACTTCTTATGATTCTGTGATAGCTTTTTATTTCTGTTAGCTACCTCATCAGCTCCAGCAAGAACATAGCAGCATGGATCTTGCTCTGAATTGTTTTTCTGCTTGGTGGAGCAGAAGTTTTGGTTTTCTCGCCAAATTTCCCATTGGATATAATAGAACTTCCTTCAACTATCCTAGTTTTGGATAGATTCAGCCTCTTTCTCAATTAAATACAACAGCTCTAGTGTAAATACTAGCATGTATCAACAGAGGTAGTAGAAAGAGGAAGAAGAATGAATATGCAGTGCTCTGTACATCTAAGACTTTAAGCAGTCCACTTAGCATATATTGATTATCATTATCTGAAATAGCCTTCCCTGAATATACATCTCAGTCCTTCAGTGTCTCTGAGGAAATTATATTGTCAAGGTTGAGTACTGGCCTTCACTTTGATTGCTAATGTGAATGCCAGTGACTTCTACAACTTTTCTATGTTGTGATACCAACACCCACTGTGAGTCCATTTCTGCTATCAGTTTCTAGTTTATACCAAGGCATTTTTAACTTTTGCCTGCTGGACTATGAAGCTATATATCTATACAGGGTGACATACTGAAATGAAAATACACCACAGTTCATATTTTTCTTCACACAGAATTAGTGTATGAGCACACCCGTACAGCAAGAAAGCTGCCTGGCAGATTTGCACAGTAATTATACTCTCTTAATGATGTTTTGGAGTCCAAAGTCTTAGAAGAGCTTTCCATTTTAACAGTTGGCATTTATTCTGCCTGTCTAATTCAAACTTTCAAAATCTGCTCCAGATCAAACTTTCAAAATCTGCTCTCTCAACACAGTTGGAGGACACACAGAAACATTTAGACTGTGGTGAGCGTTTAAACTAACTCAGAAGCATCTGTTCTGTTTTGACTCCTGCTCCTCACCAAGTATAATTCACAGACGTGGTACTGGTTCTATCACCGAAGGGGTATCAGGGACAGCCAAAGGTGATACAGAGACTCCATTCTCAGAAGGCATGAAAAGACACTTTATTATTAGAATCTAGTTCTTATAGAAACAATGGTGGACCTAAGACCTGATTGGCCTTTAGGAATCTTCTCTCACACTATTGGTGAACTTTGAATAGCATGCTCTGAAGAACTATATCTATAAACAATGGTTACAGAAAGAGATAATGGTTTGAATTCTTCTGTTTAAGTTTCTCGCAGCTTCTAAAATCCTGGGAGAACCACGTCTGTTTCTGTTCAGAGGATACATAATTACTACATTGGTTCCACCAAGTGGAAGTGGAGAGCTGACCTCTCCCAGCACTGCTTCTGATAGCGGCCAGCTCTGCTGCTCGAGATAAATGCCCGCCTTTTACCTCCTCCCCTTCCTCGCCAGCTGCCAAAACCACAGTACTGCTCAGAGAGGGCTTAGGACACTGTTGAGCGCTAGGGACTTCTACCATTTGTTGTCTAACAGATGGGAATGACGGGTACTTAAGAGACAAAAGACGTGACCTGGATAGGGAAGGGCAGGGAAGGGATGCAGCTTGCTTCAGTCTTGCTGCAGCTGGGGGAGTGAGTGTGGTGGCAGGGAAGCTCAGCGTTCTTGGGAAGCGCAGAGATGCCAGGAGCCATGGCTGGGGGTGAGGGGCTGGGCTCAGCCCTCTTTCTCTTTCTCTGGGGATCAGAGGGCCGACGGCTGTGGTTTTGGTGCCGGACTGCTGCTGCCTGAAGGATTTGCTGCCACTGCGGAGTTTTGTCCTTCACTGCTTCTCCTTGCCGTGGGTAAACCTTTGCTAGCGAGAGTGGTCATTGAACTGAGACCTCTTCACCTGACCTCACTGGGAGGGACCCTCACCATCTGCTTGGGTGTCTCAGGGGAAGCTCGGAACCTGGACCCCCAACCACTCTCTGGAGGGAGCACTTCCGGGCTGCCTGAGGGAGTCCGGCTGCCGCGGATATTCCCAGGATATCACACAGGAGATGTGAGAGCCAAAGGAAAACCTGAAACAACACCTTCCCTCCATCTTCTCTCTCGTCCTTGGGTCGCCCTGCCCCTGCTGTTTTCTGCCACTAATTCGGGGGGTTTTGCTACACTTTAACTAGACGCCCCTCATCCACCTGGATTCCTTCTGCTCCTGCCATGGCTTCGGTGTTTTTGCTACACTTTGTTTGCCACCTGGGGTGTGGTTGTCTCTGCTGTTACAGCCTGCTGATCTGAGGTTCTTCCTACAGACCAGCTCGCCACCCGGAGAGGCACTGAGACTGGCTGCTCCCCGTAAGTTTCGCAAGGGGAGCCCCTTTTCCTTCTCTCTCATCACCCAAGCCCCTACTGCCGCGTGGGGAGGGGGCTGAAGTTGCGCCACAGCGCCCCCTGCAGCCGCGGGGGAATTAGCACACCTGCCCTTTCTGGCAATGAGCCGACAGCGCCCCTGCTGGCTGTCACCATAACTACACCAAAAGGGAAAGCGCCTGCAGCCAAGACAGGCCGTTACTGGGCTTCTGATTTTTTGTTTATTGTTGCTGCCGTTGTTGTTGTTTGTTTGTCTTGTTTTATATACATACATACATACATACATACATACATACATACATACACACACACACACACACACACACACACATATATATATATATATATATTAGTAAAGAACTGTTATTCCTTTTCCTATATCTTTGCCTTAAAGCACTATGATTTCAAAGTTACAATAATTTGGAGGGAAGGGGTCATATTTTCCATCCCAGGAAGGTTCCTGCCTTTCTTGGCAGACAATAATTTTAAAAAATTATTTTAAACCAAGACAGACACTTCCCAGTGGCATCCAGTGTCAGGCCAGGCTATCAGGACCCTTATCAAGCCTATGGTATTCAAATTGCATTTAAAAGAAAAATCACTTTTCTCTCCTAAAAAAATAAATGCTGAATGCAGACTGCAGGACAGTTTGGTGTAGATTAAGGAGTCTTTGGGCAGGGGTTTTGGCATTTTTTTCACCATCTATTTATCCTGCTTGAATCCCCATGAATGAAAGTGTGAGGTTCTTGCAGGGTCCTTGTTTTCTCTG